CACCTCCCGCTCTGCTTCTCGTCTGCTTCTGACCCGGTGGCTCAGATTTTCCAGCTTAAGTCAGGAGGCAGAGACGTCTCTCAGTCCGTCTGCTGCTCTCCCATTGGTCAGATCATCTGTAAATCAACGTACGGGTCACGCTCTCCTGAATGGACCCGCATTTACTGGGTCAACGCTGCCGGAGTACGAGTGGCCTTCGGACTAATCAGATTTGCGAGCTCTAAGTGCATCAGGTTCAGCCCAGAGAACATCTGCACTGAGTTTCTGCTTCCTGAGTCTCTTTGATTGAGGTCCAGCGTCGATTTTATTACCTGCGAAGCCGCAAGACGTCTCCGGATCCGTCTCCTCGGGGTCCTGGGAGCAGAACTTTGTTGTAGCTTGAAGTTAAAGGTGCATTTTTAACACGTTGTTTCCTGAGTTTTATGGATTTTTTTTTTTTTTCAAAGCTGCAAACACAACAAAAATACAATCACAACAAAACCTGCAACTTAATAACACACACACACACACACACACAGTACTTAACATAGCTCACACAGCCTGTAATTGTTGTGTAATTACTGTGTGTGTGTTCTGTGTAATTATTACTTTCCATTTGTGTGTGTGTGTGTAGCTTGTGAGTGTTATTTCCAGGTGTGTGTTCATGTGTGTGAACTTAATTATCATGTGGGTGTGGATTCAGACGTGCGTAGTTATTGTGTGTTTATTTGCAGCTTTGCATGTGTGCAGTTGTGTACGTGTCAAGTATGCAGTGTGTGGAGTGTTTTTATGTGTGTGTTTTATGTGTGTGTATTTTTGGACCTGAAAGTGGGTGTTTGTATGTTTCTGTATATATAAGAAGTATATTCTTATTTTGACTGCTTTAACTTGTGTGTGTGTGTGTGTGTGTGTGTGTGTTTTTGTGTACATAATTATCACTTTTCACTCGTGTGCATTCTTTAGGAGACGTGTGCACGTTTGTATGTAGTGTGTGTGTGAGTGTGTGTGTGTGTGTGTGTGTGTGTGTTTGTGCATGGATGATGTTGTTCAGTTGTGTCTTTTTTGTGTGTTTTTAGGGGTTTTTTGCATATGTGTGTGTGTGCACATACATGGAGTGTGTGTTTGAATGTGTCTATGTGTGTATGTGTGCACTTCATAAAATGTTGTGTGCATTCCAGTGTGTGTCTTTGTGTCTGTTGCGTGTCTGTGATTTTATTTTGTGTTTAAACGTGTGTGTGTTAATATGAATGTGTGTGTTTTTATGGTAAACATGTACTTGTTTATGTGTGCGTGCTTGTGTGTGTCTGTGTGATGCGTTTTGCGTGCATGTGTGTGTGCATTTTGTGTGTTTGCATGTGTGTCTATTTTGTGTGTGATTTTATCTGCTGTTTAGGTGTGTGTGTGTGTGTGTGTGTGTACTTCTGCTGAAAATATTTTGTGCATATGTGTGTAAACATGTAGATGGAGTGTGTGTGGTTGAGGATTTTGTTGTGTGTATGTGTGTGTGTGTGTTCTCGTGTTTGTTTGACTGTGTGTGCTTCGTAAAGGTGTGGTTTGAATGCTTGTGTGTGTTTGTGGCTGATTTGCGGTTGTTGTGTGGGTTTAAAAGTGTCTTTTTGTGTGTATAAATGTGCGTTTTCATGTTTGTTTTAGAAAGATATGTGTGTGTGTGTTTACATGTGTGTCAGTGTGACTCCATCTAGCANAGCACCTAACAGAAATGTGATTGGCTCTGCAGGTTAGCTCTGTAGCATCAGTTACCATGGCGATCTAGCAGGTTAAAAGACCTTAGTAACACTGAAAACTCCAGCTTTAGGCCCTGACGTACCTGCTAACACATTAACGCCGCTTCGTAGTTCAGCTCTCAGGTGCGTTGTTGTCATTTCAGTGCAAAGTGATTTGATTTATTTTGCTACAAATGTTAGCTGTTTGTGCTTATTTGTGATTCATGTAGGCTACTGCTGGCTCATGTAGAGATGATGTGAGGGTTTGTTTTTATCCGCACCTGACTGATTGAAGAGAAGTTTCAGAGGAATCCAGAGGAGCACCTCCCGCTCTGCTTCTCGTCTGCTTCTGACCCGGTGGCTCAGATTTTCCAGCTTAAGTCAGGAGGCAGAGACGTCTCTCAGTCCGTCTGCTGCTCTCCCATTGGTCAGATCATCTGTAAATCAACGTACGGGTCACGCTCTCCTGAATGGACCCGCATTTACTGGGTCAACGCTGCCGGAGTACGAGTGGCCTTCGGACTAATCAGATTTGCGAGCTCTAAGTGCATCAGGTTCAGCCCAGAGAACATCTGCACTGAGTTTCTGCTTCCTGAGTCTCTTTGATTGAGGTCCAGCGTCGATTTTATTACCTGCGAAGCCGCAAGACGTCTCCGGATCCGTCTCCTCGGGGGCCTGGGAGCAGAACTTTGTTGTAGCTTGAAGTTAAAGGTGCATTTTTAACACGTTGTTTCCTGAGTTTTATGGATTTTTTTTTTTTTAAAGCTGCAAACACAACAAAAATACAATCGCAACAAAACCTGCAACTTAATAACACACACACACAGTACTTAACATAGCTCACACAGCCTGTAATTGTTGTGTAATTACTGTGTGTGTGTTCTCTGTGTAATTATTACTTTCCATTTGTGTGTGTGTGTGTGTGTGTAGCTTGTGAGTGTTATTTCCAGGTGTGTGTTCATGTGTGTGAACTTAATTATCATGTGGGTGTGGATTCAGACGTGCGTAGTTATTGTGTGTTTATTTGCAGCTTTGCATGTGTGCAGTTGTGTACGTGTCAAGTATGCAGTGTGTGGAGTGTTTTTATGTGTGTGTTTTATGTGTGTGTATTTTTGGACCTGAAAGTGGGTGTTTGTATGTTTCTGTATATATAAGAAGTATATTCTTATTTTGACTGCTTTAACTTGTGTGTGTGTGTGTGTGTGTGTGTGTGTTTTTGTGTACATAATTATCACTTTTCACTCGTGTGCATTCTTTAGGAGACGTGTGCACGTTTGTATGTAGTGTGTGTGTGAGTGTGTGTGTGTGTGTGTGTGTGTGTGTTTGTGCATGGATGATGTTGTTCAGTTGTGTCTTTTTTGTGTGTTTTTAGGGGTTTTTTGCATATGTGTGTGTGTGCACATACATGGAGTGTGTGTTTGAATGTGTCTATGTGTGTATGTGTGCACTTCATAAAATGTTGTGTGCATTCCAGTGTGTGTCTTTGTGTCTGTTGCGTGTCTGTGATTTTATTTTGTGTTTAAACGTGTGTGTGTTAATATGAATGTGTGTGTTTTTATGGTAAACATGTACTTGTTTATGTGTGCGTGCTTGTGTGTGTCTGTGTGATGCGTTTTGCGTGCATGTGTGTGTGCATTTTGTGTGTTTGCATGTGTGTCTATTTTGTGTGTGATTTTATCTGCTGTTTAGGTGTGTGTGTGTGTGTGTGTGTGTACTTCTGCTGAAAATATTTTGTGCATATGTGTGTAAACATGTAGATGGAGTGTGTGTGGTTGAGGATTTTGTTGTGTGTATGTGTGTGTGTGTGTTCTCGTGTTTGTTTGACTGTGTGTGCTTCGTAAAGGTGTGGTTTGAATACTTGTGTGTGTTTGTGGCTGATTTGCGGTTGTTGTGTGGGTTTAAAAGTGTCTTTTTGTGTGTATAAATGTGCGTTTTCATGTTTGTTTTAGAAAGATATGTGTGTGTGTGTTTACATGTGTGTCAGTGTGACTCCATCTAGCAGTTTATGCACAACTGTGTGTGTCTAAAAGTGTGTGTGCGTATGTGTTTTTACATTGTTTGTGTATTTGTGTACGTACAGAAAACACGTGAGAGCTTGTGTGTGTGTGGCTGATGATTTTAATGTGTGTAAATGTTTGTGTTCTCATGTTTGTTTGTGTGTGTGTTTCATGAAGATGTATTTTAAATGCTTGTGTGTGTGTGTGTGTGTGTGTGTGTGTGTGTGTGTGTGTTTGATGATTTTCAGTTGTCGTGTCGGTTTAAAAGTGTGTATTTTCATGTGGGGTTTTAAGTGCGTCTTTTAACGTGTGTGTTTTCATGTTTGTGTGACCGTGTGTGTGTGTGTGTGTGTATGTTGTGTGAATCCATTTTACCAGTTTATCCTCGGCTGTGTGTGTCTGGTTTATGTGATATCTGGAAAATAAGTGGAACTTGTGTGTGTGTGATTCTTTTTTAGTGTGTAAATGTACGTTGTTGTGTTTTTTCTTCATGTCGATGTATGCTGAATGCTTGTGGATGTGTAATTGTCACTTTTTGCTTGTGTGTGTGGCTGATGTTCAGTTGTGTAGCTGTGAAAGTGTATAAATGTGTGTTTTCATGTTTGTTGTATAAAGATGTGTTTTGAGTGCATGTGTGTGTAATTACATGTGTGTCAGTGTGACTCCATTTACCAGTTCATGCACAACTGTGTGTGTGTGTGTAGCCTGTGAACGGTATATGTGTGTTTCATAACATGTTGTGTGTCGTTTACATGTGCATCAGTGTGAATCCATTTTACCAGTTTATCCTGAGCCGTGTGTGTGTGTTTCTGTGTGTGTGTGTGTGTGCGTGTACACATAAGTGGCGGAGTCACAGAGTGGGTCGCTGTTTGCCTCGCTCATAGTGAGCGTCGCCATGGCAACGGCACTAGCAGCACAGTGTGAAGTGGAGGAAGAGCTGGCGGCGCTCAGCGTGATGGAGGCAGATACAGACAGACGGACGGACGCCGGTGTCGCACGGAGCCACGCCATTGGTCGGAGCGGCTGATGATGTCATGTGTTTAGGTGGCGGTTTAAACGTGCGAGTCCTCGTGCGAGTTATTGAGCCTTATTCTGACTGTGGCGACCTCGCAGCGTTTCCTCCGTTAACCTGCGAGTGTTTGCTCAGCGCGGACAGATTACCAGCTCAGGGTCACAAGAGTTAATGATCAAATCGAAACCCAGGAAGAGAAGCAGAGGCAGACAGGGAGGGGGGAGGGGGGGTGTGTGTCATACTGAGCATGCTCTTTGTGTTAACTTCCTGCTCTCTTCTTCCTGACAGAAAAAAGCGCGTTCAGAGGCCGGCGTTGAAGCTCACCGAGAGGCAGGCAGCCGAGGAGACGCTCCGAGGAGAATCACATCAAACCTGAGGAGTTATTACGACATCCAGCCTGAACCGGCTCTGTGGATTCTTCTGTTGTCGGGTCTTTTTTTTTTTTTACGCTCTTTGTGTTTTTGTAGGAGAGTGACTCATTGAAACTGACATTAATCTTTTTTTGTTTAACAGTCAGAGTCGCTGTAATGTTTGACCTCTGAGATTCTCTCTACTTTGTCGTTTGAAGTTTCAGAGAAACTCCGGGATTTTTTTTTTTTCTTCTGAGCTGATCTCTTTCATTTTCTGTACGTGTGTGTCTGTTATCTCACGCCGTGGTTTCCTGATAGCGTTTGGTTGCTCATAAGAGGAAGAGAAGGAGGCAACTGTTTCTCAAGTTTCTCAGCCAGGAGCCTGAGCAGCATTTGCATTCCAGTTTGGCTTCCACCGGCGGACAGATCCTCCCTTGTGCACGACAGAGTGTGTGTTTGTGTCCCTCGGTGATACTCTGACTCGTATCGGGGGACAATAATCGGCCCTGTGTGTCTCTTCTGGGTAGAAATGGGATCAGAAAAGGACTCAGAGTCGCCTCACTCCTCAGTGAGCGGCGTCCCCAACCCTAAGTGCCGACCGGCGGGCAAACGCCAGGGCCGCATCTCCTTCCACAGCCTCTTCAACAGCAAGAGGGGCTCTCGGGGCACCAGGGGCCCCAAAGGAGCGGCGGCCACCCCTTTATCCCACCTCCACCAACAGCAGCTGCTCCCATCTGCCTTGAGTTCCACCGCAGCCTCTGCTACGCCCACCGCCGCCGCCGCCGCCACCGCAGCCGCCGCCGCCACGCCCCAGGACGCCGCCTCCGGCACCCCCTCCAAGCCACTGTCCTCCAGCCAGCCATCCCTGGGTGGAGCTGCCTCCTCCGGGGACAACAACCTCCTGGAGTGCCCCCTGTGCCTGGTGCGCCAGCCCGCCGACCAGCTGCCCGAGCTGCTGGGCTGCAGCCACCGCTCCTGCCTCTGCTGCCTGCGCCAGTACCTCCGCATCGAGATCACCGAGAGCCGAGTCCAGCTCAGCTGCCCCGAGTGCGCCGAGCGTCTGGCCCCGCGGCAGGTGGCCGACATCCTGGACGACGCCGCCCTGCTGGAGAAGTACGAGGAGTTCCTGCTCAGGAGGTGCCTCGCCTCCGACCCGGACTGCCGATGGTGCCCGGCGCCCGACTGCGGGTAAGAAACTCTTCGGAGTCCAACTATGGGGTTGTTTCTGGGCCAATACTGATCATGAAGGAGACCAATAGCCGATGTGTGACTCCAACACGAAACTTTGTTGATGTTCTTCTGGTCAGCATTTATCTTTCAGTGTTGATTGGCTGTTACTCGTGACGTTTAACCAATTAGACACTGCTTGAGACTATAGCTAATTAGTTTAATTTAGAGTCACAAAATCTAATAATCGGGAAGTGCTGGATGTCCATACTCAGTTGATCCAGACATTTGGTAGCTCCGGCTCGCCTCTGACTCGTACTTTTATGGTGCTGCTGTGATGTCTTATCTAGAACCACCTCATTTGTGCCAATTACATCATTTAATGTATTTACCCTTCTGTCTCCTGTAGCTTCATCTATTAGCTACTCATTGTTTGGTTGTTTGAAAAAGGTCTTCAAGTTCCCTATTTTGTCTGTCCAGGAAGCCAAAACCCAAAGATGTTTTAGAGTCACATAAAAAGCAGGAAAACCCACAAACTTGATTGGGGGAAGCTGGAAACAGAGAATGTTTGATAGTAGTGACCATTAATGGTTTGAAAGGCATGTTGTCCCTAAAAAATAACCAAAATGACATCATTTCTTAGAACTAGACGCTGTAAAGACCCCTGATGGTCTTTGAACTCATCATCTGTAACTTTCAGTTTTGTTGGGAAGTTAACCAAAACCCAGCTTCAGATTAGGATGTTTCATCAAAATCACTTTATTCTTCATGTCTCATTAAAAAAATCTGCCAAATATAAACGGTTGACTGTAAAACTATGCCCTCCTTGGCACAACCTTGAAGTGACTCATCTGCTACCAGCAGTCACGTAACTACAATTCAGGGACTTTTCAGCTGAGCTGCTGGTTGTGTTTACACAGAGCAGGTATGAGACACGTATGTACGTAGTAAAATATCTAGAATATGTACAGCCACTGTTTCTTTGCCCAGTATGGGTAACATCTGTAGGCCATTTGAAAAATGTGCTACATGTTGGTTCGAGATGTTTTTCTTTTTTTTTAAATTCAAAGAAATTCAACTTTCTTTTCTGATGATTGGTGGCATTATAACCGTGCCATACTGCAAAGAAGACATTTCTAGATCCTCTCTACTTCTAGTCATGGTTGTTGTGTTTCCATAGAGGTGCAGGATTTTATATGACAGTGAAAAATGAGCCCACAGTGAAGAAAAACAACAACAACAAAACGCCCAGAAACTGCTGAAGGGGTGAATCAACTGGATTGTGTTCATGAGAAAAAAGGCTGGAAGTCAGGCTTCAATACCATCAGTCATGTTGACTGAGTCAGTATTTACTGGAAGTTGCCGGACTGAGTCTTATCGCGGCAATTTGTACTTTGTTCCCATCCTCCTGTTGAAGGTATCTGATTTAATTTAGTGTAACATACCTTCAGATCGGGTTTGCATGTTTGTTTGAATGTTTGTTCTGGAACTGACTTGAACTTGCCCTGGAGGAGAGTCACGGCGCACAATTAATCAATAAAAACAAACAAGCAGTTGCGAGAAACAGAAACTAAAATACTACAAAGTGAAAATTGCGGCACAGCTGGAGGCATTTTAAGTATCTGTGGCAGCTGTTTGGCTGAATTCATGAAGGGACGCCAGAAGAAAACTCACATCAGAAGAGTTTCTCAAAGGCAAAGTTAGCACACGTTAGCATCTGTTAGCATTTCTAGTAAAAGCTTTTCTGTCTGTTACAACTATGAATGATCAGTTTTTCTCTCTGAAGCGTCACATTTGTGGTTATTTCTTCACTTTCTGCTGCAACTGTCTGGTTTCAGACGAGCGGTGTGTTGCTTCAGAGTTCTCGTAAATAACGGGGTTTTTTCTACCGAGGTCACAGAACAGGAACCAGAGGGACCCGATCTGTCAGAAACAGTGAGGAAGTTGAACGTGAAAGCGCAGCGAGGAGCTGAATCTGGGTTAGAGTCTGTGGTCGGAGCCTCAGGTGGGTTTTTTTGGAGGCTGAGCTGCTCTCGTCGGGTTTCTGGAACAAATGAGAGGCGTTTGTTTCATCATAGAAAGCAGGAGTGATTCACTGTGTTTGTGTTTGTGTGTGTGTGTGGGACGGACCGGCGCAGATATTCACTGATATTCTGCTGCTGTGGTTTTTGTACAGTAATACAGGTATAGTCGCGGGGGAAAGAAAGCAGCATCTGTGTGGAAGCGGCACAAATCTGGCCATGTGTTCGCTGTTCGTTTCTGTTTCTGATTCACTGGGCCGCTTCCCAACACCGAGTGTGATTTGTAAAAAGTACAAGTGTAGTTTTTAGTCTCTAGTAACACATTTAGGGGGATTCATGAAGTCGGAAATCAGTAAAACTTGCAGCTCTGGAACCCTGTTAAAATAATCTGGTGGGTTTTTTTTAAACAATTTTGAATAATTGAGTCTTGTTTAACAGATTTTTACAGTTTTTATTAAATAAAATCACAGAACAACGTCTTAATTATACATTGATTATTGCATTATGAAGGACTGAAGAATGTTAAATCATGTTTAACTGTTATTTTACAGGTTTTCACTGATTATTGATAATATTTATCAAAATGAAATTAACAAAAAGCACAGGCCAAACTGTAAATGTCAATATCAATAACGTCAACATACAGAATCTGCAATTTTGTTTTGTCTATTTTTTACAAATAGGGATTTATTTATTATTACAGTGTGTAACCATACAACATATTTTTTTATTCTTTTACTGTATTTAAATCAACCAAAAATATAATTATTTTACAGATATTTGTAGTTATTTTAAATTACAGACTGAAAACAGTAACTTTTTTGCATAAATGTTATTTTCCTTTTTTTTTTTTTACTTATTACTTAGATTGAATTCAGTGATTTAATAATAACACTGACTTTAAAACCTAACAGAAAACAAAACCGTAAATAATACGTCACTAATTTGTACTGTCATAAATGGTGATTTCATTTTTCTACATTTGTCTGTAAAATTACACTTTTTTTTTTTTGTGGATTCATCCATTAAAACAGAAAGAAAATCAGAGATATTTTAAAGCTGTGTCGTCACTCAGCAGTTGTGTATTTTTCTGATTGCCACAAAGAAAAGATATTTGCTGAAACAACCTCTGAGGACCATGAACACCACTTTAGTCCCACCTACTGTAACCAACATGATGTGCTTTTTAACAAGAAATGTTGACTCAGTATTGCTAGATAAAATGTAATAACAATAACATATGTGTGAGTCATCCTCTGGTGATCATGAATATTCAGTTTCATCTGCTAAGTGATCTATTTCTGCTTCTCTGAGGATCATAACTTCAGCGTCTGTCTCGGTGTATAAGCAGGTTTGCAGGGTTTGTATTGTCTCTGAGCACAAATCCATGAGTGGGATCATTTTTACTCTCAGCGGGGATGAAAATGAACCTCGACGGGCGTTTTTTTTTAATCGATATTACAAATATTATCTTAGGGAGAGGCTGGTAATGAGCCTCTGTGCTCAGGATACTGTGTCTGTTTCTGTGCAGGCTTTTATTTTAATCAGTGTAAAATAACCTCAGAGATAAAGAGGCGAGGCTGCTGTCTCCAACGTCCCCCTGTTACGTTCTGCCTGCATGTGGGCAGACATTTTAGAACGAGTTCAGAGGTAGTTTTATGAAGGTCGTGTCGGTGGAGACGAGCTGCGAGTCGCTGTAATGTCCCGGTGCAAATAAACCAAAACCAAAGTGTGTGTTTGCATCAGCAGCATCAGCGAGGAGAGGTCGGCCGCTGACCTACATACTTAGCGGGACAATCCTCCATCTGACGCCAGCAGTGACTCAGCTCAGCTTCATTTCAGACAAGTTCACCAAATTGTTATTCATCGCAAACAGCCGGAGCTGCAGACACACAAAAAAACCACACACAGTAACCCACACCTGGGAGCTGCTGTTCGCTGGTCTGCTGGTTTCTGGAGAGGATTCATCCTCAGAAACACAAAAAAAAAGGTGTGAGTTTCTTCAGTGAAAACCGTAAATGGAGTGTTTATAGCTGCGAAAGGATGTCGTGTTGTGGGAAAGTTACATAAACGTGAGCTGGTTTTTCAGCCTTATCTTTTCTAAGAGCTACACAGACGACTGCAGATGAGACAGAATCAGTGTGAATTAGATAAATTACACAACATTACAGCAGAAAACACAGGTGGCTGTTTGAAGTTGACATTTTCAGTCGCACTTCACCGTTCTGCAGGTGAGCAGAAATATCAACGATGCAGTTCATAGACAACAAACAACTCTCTTTATTGTCAGTTAATCTGCTGAGTGTTTTCTGGATGAATTTATTAGCTGATGATGACTGATTTAGCCTCTGAAGTGCAGCACAAAAAGCTGCAAACACGTTGTCTCCTCATAAACTTATTTACTTCTGATTCAGAGTCGTGTTTCAGTCCGGCTGTCCAGTCGCTGCTCTTTTAGTTGTTTTCTTTAATAACTCCTGTGTCTGCTGTTTGGCGCTGGGCCCAATAACGTACTGTTGTTTTACAGATTGTTGAATTACTCGTAAAATTGTTTTAAAACAATAATAATTTGCATGCTAACCTTAAAAACATCGGCTGTGACATCTTTTTACAATAATGTTCATTTTGGGGAAAAAAGTCTGTATTTTTAAAAATAGTAATTTTGCACTTAATACTTTTTTAACAGCAAAAAATCAATATTTTCCAAATATTTGTCATTATTTGAAAAAATTGTAAAATATTTTTGTTATGTTATTTTATAGATTTTTCATGTTTTGGTAAATTAAAGATCATATTTGGTCCAAATCACAGAAAAAAAAGATTAATTTACATGTTTATTGTAAAAACAAAGCAACAGGACAAAACTGTCCATAATGTCCACGTTAAATATCAGTATTTTTTTTACAAATCTTATTTATGTTTTTAAAAACAAATATGCCCTTGAAGACACACTGTTGAACAGTATTTAAATTAGCTAAAACTATTATTATTGTAAAAGACATT